CCTTCCCTGCCTCCTGCTGGGGCTCGGGCAGTCTCCTCACCACCGATGACCCTCCAAAGGCATCAGGAAGGCACTGCTGCCGGGGAACCGAGCGCTGGCCTCGCTGCCGTGCAGGCGATGGCAGCGGAGCTGGAGGCAGGAAGCTGGAAGTGCCGCTCATCTTGTGCTCTGGTCTGCAGCGATGAAGGTGCCATGGACAGGAATTCTGCCAACGTCCTCACGGATTTGAGGCCCTGTCCTGAGGCGCCTGTGTCCGAGATGCTCCCCGTTGGAGCCACATCTTGGATTCCCTCTCGAGTGTCAGGCAGCGTGCTCAGAGGCGGGTTCGGTGGTCCTGGTTTGCCAGGATGGTGCTGGTGAGCACCAAGTAGCTACAGCGGCAAAAGAAACCCAACTACCCTACGGTCCTGTAGCAAAACCCATCACAAATCGTCGTCTGGAAACTGGGGGACAAAGGGGATCTGGCAGAACTTGCCACTGATACTAAGCTTTTTATTTAGGAGAATGAGATCGGAAGCAAATGTAAGGAAATGCAGGAGATGTTGACAGTACAGAGCAGTTTGCTGATGAAACGGGAGCAAATCTCATCCTGGTAGATGCAGCAAGATGGCCAAGGGGGCAGCAGGTGCCCTGCAGGTGCAGCGAGGCTGCAGTGCCAGAGCATCCCTGAGGGACCAGGAGCTTCCCTGCGGCACCAGGAGCGTCGTCGCTGCAGCGTGCTCGGCATGCATCAGCCCCAGAGCAGGTAAAACCTCAGCAGCGGGTGGGAAAGGAGCAGTTAGCAGAGAGGCAGGACGGGGATGCATTCCTGGTCAGCGAGGATGCGGCTGGGCCGGCGCTTACGGGAACGGGACGCGCAGAGAGCCCCAGCTCCGTCCCTCCGCGCTGTGCGGGTCCAGCCATGGAGCAAGCGGGTTTGTGCAGCAGCTGCCACTGGGGAGGCCGGCCCCAAAACAAGCACCCGAAGAGGAAGGGAGGAGACCGGGGTTGATGCTTGGGTGGCATTTTGAGGCAGGTGGAAAGCGGAGCGAGGTGATGGCCTGAGCTTTGCAGCTGCTTCGCTGAAAACCAGAGCTGCAGGCTATGGATTAAATTCTGTGTCAAAGGTGTAACTTTGTCTAGAAGAAAATGCCACAAGGTGGAACATAAACCCAAGGCCAGCACTGCTGACACAGAAGCATTTCACATTTTCAAAGCAGCAGACTTAGCAGAAATAGAAAAGAAGTCAGCACTATAACACCAAGCATCATGAAATACACCCTCGTGAGTCACTTACTTCTAAACCTCAAAAATCTTCCAGCAGAATTTCTTTGGCCAGTCATTGCTCCAGTGAAATCTTTCCACAAGGAACAAGAATAGCTTAAAACGCACGGCGTCTAATCTTCTTCCCTCAAGAGCTCGATGGAAGAGGCTGCATATCAAATAACAAGGGAAGCATCTCAGAAATGCTGGGTGGAGCAGGGAGGGCCAGGGCAGTCGTGCACTTGTCATGAAACCGCGGCGGGCTTGCTGAGGAGCGCACGTGCCGGCTGCGCTCGGACGGGACGCGCGGCGAGCGGTGCCCGCAGCGCCTGCTCCCGCCCCACGCCAGCCCCGGGAATCCCTTCCTCCCTAGGGATGGAGTAACTGCCAGCTGCTCCCGCGGCTGGTAGCCGGGCTGGCCCCTCTCCCGTGCTCTGGT